AAAAAAAAAAAAAAAAAAAAAAAAAAAAAGAAAAAGAAAAGAAAACAAAAAATCAAATATACATTAACATAGATTTGTTTTCTTAACTAGCCTAGGGAACGGTGGATATTTTCCCCGCTTCATATGCATCTGTGTTAATCCAATCCTTATATCTGTGGTCTGTGGATAGAGTATGTGATACAGTCCTGAGAGCATATCCCAGGGACACTTAACCCATATTTGGGAGCTATATTGTTTCCCAGTAAAAGTCTTCTGAGACTCTACTGCTGAGTAGAAGTTAGCGAAGCAGAGCGAATGACTTGTTTAGAGGCCCGGGGATGGGTGCCAACACAGAGGAACTGAGGAAATTTCATGAAACTTAAAACATGGATAGCTGAGGGGGCAGTAGAGCTGAAGCGAAGGCAGAAGCTGACCACAGAAGGCAGAGGGTCCCACGTAAAGCGTTAAGGAAGCAGGAGGCTGGGGAAGTGTCTTAAGCACAGTCAGATTTGTATTTGGGAAACTCACTGCTTCAGAGTGAAGAATGAGAGGAAGGGGAGAAAAACTCACAAGGAAGTGAGTTGGAAGTTACTGCAGTCACCCAGGTGGGAGGTGATGAGGACTCAGACCAAGGTGGTGTCTGGGAATTAGTGGACAGATTAAGGGACAGGAAGGATAAAATCAGACCTTCTTATTTTTCTAACTAACAAGCATTATTTTTCTGTACCCGCCTGTTAAAACCCTAGCCATATTCTAACTGAGATGCTTTTTCATAAAATTTTTTCTTGTTCTTCCTGACCTTTTATCTACTCTCTCTGAACTTATTTGCATACCCATGTTGTGACAGAAGATTTCAAGATTGTTTTCAAATCACTATTTCTCTGAACTAGATGTTCAGATTTTGGAAGACCCAGATGCCAGCCTCTTGTCTCCCTCTGCAGAATGCCTTGCTGGTATGGCTCCAATAAATGTTCTTTCAGTCACATTTTCTGTCTTCTAGGTGCACCTGATTTTGTGCACTGCACTTCTACATAGATCCCTCAGTGAATTTTTTATTCTTGGTCTGTAAATAGAGTCAGAAAAAAGTTTTTATCTCTGTACACAGAAAAAGAAACTTCAATATTAAGAGAAAATTTACTATTCAACATTAAATGCCAATATTCAGTACGCTTGGTTCCCCTCCCACCAGGACAGTTCCCCAGCAGTTTTGTGGAAGTTGTGACCATTCCCAGTCTAAAAGAGGGAGAAAGGCTGTTCGTCTGCATCTCTGAATTTACATCCCAAGGACTCAGCAGTCTTCCCCTCCATCGAGGTAAGCTTATCCTCAGAGACTGAACTGAAGATGAGGGTGGTGGTCTGCCTGTCCGAGAACTCGGTCTTTTACAAGTGGCTAGCATCTGGAGAGTCCTCAGCAGCACCAAGATAGTGGGGGGCGATACATTTTAGTTATACTTAATTATATTTTATAATTTCCACAATATTTTCTCACAAATACATTCTCATCTGCGCCTCAGCAGAAACCCAGAAGACAACAAAGTGGGTATTATCAACTATACTTTATAAAAAAATAGTATGGTTCAAAGGCATTTAGTTGCAGGTGAGAAATTTTGGCCTCAGGACTGGACTGATATCAATTTATCCTAAGTCAAGTTTTTGGCTTTCCATGGTCCGCACACTATAGCCACACTTTAGATTATCATTGTTTCCCATCAAAGCCAATGTGGCTTTTCTAAACAACATGGTTAATGTACTATTGTAATTTACTATTGTAAAGTGGTCATTTTGATATGCTGATTAACAGACAAAAACAAAACAGCTCCATTTTACTGCTTTACTACCATTAGATATTGTTACAAAAGTTCTCATCAGAATTAGTTTGAAATAGTTTAAGCCTGACTCACAAGCGCAAGGTCCCGAGTTTGATAAGTAAATAAATAAAAACAGTTTAAAATGGGTAGTTTAGCTGTGTCTCAGTGATCTTCCAAGTATTTCTCGTTTCTTACACTCTGGTATATTTGAACTTCCACACATGGATGATATACCATTTCAACGAGTAAATTCGGTTGTCCTCACATTTCTGCATAAACACAGAAACCAATAGAATTCTATAAACTGAGGCATATAATCTATCGAATTTTGTGATAACTCAGTCATGAAAATAGTAGGATTTTCACTTGGGAGGCTGAAGCAGGAGAATTGCCAGAGTTTGAGGTCAGTCTGGGCTATATGGTGAATTCAAGGCCAGCTTAAACTACATAGCAAGATCCTATCTAAAAAAAAAGGTAGAATTTATTAGATATGTTATTAATATCGTTATTTGTGTTATTAGGGAATCCCTTGTGTCACTGAAAGATAGGCTTAATTTCTTAAACTGTACACATACACACTCTGGAAAATGTAGCAAACTTCTTTAGTAGTTAGTAAAAAGAAAGGAATTTTGGATTTTGACATTAATCCTCAAAATCTGTTTGGAGAGTTTCTTGCACTTTACTCTGTGCTCAGCCTCTGCCTCTGTTCGTAGACTTCCTTGCTAGTCAACATTGGGAAGGCAGGCAGACATAAACTGAAATACCACGGCAGAGCTTTCATCCTTACTCGTACCTCTCTCAGCAGAAGTCTGAAATCTCTCTTGTGCTGGCCAGAAGCAGAAAGGAGAAAGGGCAGGAGCACAGTGGCTTTCATTAGAGCTGTGTCCAGAATGTGGATGGCATGGACTTTTCCTTTCCTACACCTGGTTCCATGTATAAATACTGGTGGAAGAATGTACTATGTGGAAATGTACAGTATGCCTAATAATATTCTGAGGAGTTTGAGAGTGTGGCTTCTATGAAGCTTTTTTACTTCATAGTTAAGTGTTGTATAGTCAAGTTGTAGGCACTAGAAATAAGAAAGAGATTTACTCTTAAATCCTGAACTGGCTTTGAAATTAAAAGTGACCTCAGACTTCCTGGGGCTGTCTGAGAGATTGTCCAGAAGACAGGCTCTCAGTCTCTGGCAAGCAGGACCCCAGGTCAGGCGAGTCCTGGAATCTATAAATCTTATCTTTTCTACTTATTCACCAGTTATGCCTACTAAGCTTAAAACTGTAAGTGGAAGGTGGATGTGGTGGCACACAGCTCTAATGCCAGCTCTCTGGGAGGCTGGGCAGGAGGATAGCAGGTTTGACCCTAGCTTCGGCAGTTTAGTGACTTAGGGAGACCCTGTCTCAACATTTTATAAAAGGGCTGAGAATATAGTTCAGTGTGAAGGCTCTGGGTCCACTTGTTAGTACATTTAAAAAAATCGTAAGTAGAGCCCAATGGAAGTGAATACACAGGGAGAGAGAATAGGAAGAGAATAGCTAAGTGCTTCATTTTTATCTTCTCTTCTCTGTGGTATATTCTGCTGGTAAACACTGACCCACTCAAGTGTTTCCTTCCCTGCCCTTCATCACTCCTGGCTCCACACGTCTTCCAGTTTGAAAACACAAGCTTCTGTGGGTGGGGAAGTCAGGTATATACCTACACAATTAGTCTTTTCTAGAAAGCTTGCTTGAAACAATCCGATGATTTTAATTTCTTTTATTTTCTGTACATGACAAATCACATCATCAGGTATTAATTTTGCTATTTGGAAACAAATCACCGGTTTTCAACTCAAACTTTTTTTTTTTTTTTTGGTACTGCGGATTGAACTCTGGTCTTTGTGCTTGCAAGGCAGGGGACGGAACCACTGAGCTAAATCCCTGGCTAGGCTTAAACCACGTTTTCAAGTCTAGTGCTTAGAATGGCCCTTTTACTTCTTAGACTGAAAATTATTTTTTCCATTAGATTAGCATTTCTAATTCCTTTATCCTTGGCCTCTATACTATTAGTCCTGATTCCTGGGATTTCTTTATTCTCCCTCTTAGCTGTCAGTGTGGCAGTATAGCTTCTCCTCAGCCAACCAAAAGCTTGGTTGTTGAGTACGTCAGGAAAGTTGGAAACCTTTAAGAGGATGGGGGATATATTTCAGATTTGTTGTGTTTTACCATGCTGACTTCTTAGTTGTTACTTATCTTTAAAAAATAATCACTAGGATTAATGAAAGAAAAACATATATATGAATATGATTTATGTATATATGTGTGTGTATATTAAGAGCAGATAATAGAGTTTAAGGGATAAGAATTGCGATGGCCCTGTTTAAATCCAACTCCACCACTTAACAGCTATAATTTATTTAAGTCGCTCAGCCTTAGTTCCCCTATCTAAAAAAATAGGGACAATATCAACCTCGGGTGGTTATAAGGATTAAATGAGGTTACACTGTACATGTAAAGCATCTGGCAAAGGGAAGCACTCAAAAAATGTTAGCCATTTTTATGAGACCTACCCTGGGTCCCTGAGGTTCGCCGATGTGCTGTGGGCTGTTATGGTTTGTGTTTAGATTTCCCTAACAACAAAGCCTTACGCTGATGAGCTGGGACTTGCTTTTTCAGAGGCAGGTGAATCTGGAACGTGTGATGTTGGGGTTAAGCACGGTGATTTCTAAACCACTACATGCGGCTGATTAGTTTGGCACCGCCCTAATCCTGGTTGTCTGAATAAGATAAAGGGGGCAGGAAGATGCTGTTCAGGAAGAAGCTGTTCAATTTCCTTGTTTCCTCTGTGACCGTGTGTGCACCGTGTTGTTTCTCCTCTGCCAGTCCTGTTTGTCGTCCCTGCCTTGGAGCCAACCAATTATGGCAAAAACTCATTTCCCCTTTAACTTTCGTTGCCAGGTATTTTCTGTCAGCAATGACAGAAAAGTAACTAACACAGAGGCGTTGTTGCTGGGTGACCCTGTGAAGTTTGTGTGTGTGTGTGTGTGTGTGTGTGTGTTGTGTGTGTGTATGTGTATACACGCGCGCTCTGTCCAGGAAAGTTCTACCTGGAACTGGAAACAGTAGTGGTTCTTCCAGCAGGTGTCACCCTTCCTCCTTTTCCTGAAGATGCCCAACTGTTCTGTTTTGTGTATTTTGAGTTATATTTAAACTCAGAAGCAAGACTGCCTCTTAGAAGAAGGGTCATTACAGGTGGTTGGGTCTCTGTACTAAAAAATAGCTGGAGCTGGGCACGGTGATATACACTTGTAATCCCAGCACGGTGGCAGGCTGAGGCAGGAGTATTGCAAGTTTGAGCCCAGCCTGAACAGTTTAGTGACTTAGCAAGACCCTGTCTCAAAAAAGTTGAGAAGTGTAGCTCAGTACAAAGGCCCTGGGTTCCATCTCCAGTATCACCCTAGTAAAAAGGAGGGGAAACAACACATAGAAAACAATAGGGTATAAGAAGGAAAAGACAAAACAATGATAAAGAGAAAAAAATATGTTTTATGGGGAGCGGTAGAAATCACACTACTTGTTGCCTCACATATCTCAGAATGCTAATACCTCATATTTCTAGGCCACTTCCCCTACCAAATAAAAAGCTAATAAAAATAAATTGATAAACTTATTTATAAATAAATTGATAGATGGTGTTTATCCATCAAAGCACACATGTCAACAATTTGTAGTACATGAGTATGAGATATCTAAGATCACAGTTCTGTTTGTTCATGTGTTTGTTTGGGGGTTTTGGTGCTTTGAGACAGGACCCCACTATGTAATTCAAGCTGGCCTTGAGCTATGCAGCCCAGGCTGGCCTCAAACTTGTGGCACTCCTCCTGCCTCAGTCTCCCTAGTGCTGATATTACAGGTTCATGCTACCATACACGACTGAGATTGCAGTTCTGGTACAGCTTATGTGGGAAGCTATGTACAGTGTGTGGTCAGGCCTTAAAAGCATACTGTTCGCTGGGCACTTAGAGCCACGAGTGGAATCAGTGAGGAACCTAATTCTTCTGAGCTTGTATCAGATTCTATGGCTTGCATTGTTCTTATCGTTTTATTTCTAATCTAGTTTCTGTTCAAACAAAAGAAATCTGACCAGAGCAATCAAGCAGTGTACCTAGGATTAACTGCCTCAGCCAGAGTCAGGCTGACTCTAAGAGACACTACACTTCTTGTTTTTCTGTTCTCAGATCTGGTCACCTCATTCCTGGAATTCCTCATATCGGTGTTCTGAAGTCTGAAAATGACCGCTAGGTCACCTCCATTCCTGAGGAATCACCTAGGATTCCAGGGCAACATGTCTGGTTAAAATGAGATTCTTGCAAAAGCTCAGGAATGGGGGCATTGAATGCCTTCCAGTGTCCAATTTGTGATTTTTATTTTGAAAATTCACCTTTATTGTGTAGAAATACCTAACAGATAGACAGTCTGCCAGGTACTAAAGCTTATCAAAATAGTCACTCAGCTGAAAATAGACAAGAAAACAAGCCCCATTATATGAGTTCATGGAAATCTGGCCAAACAAAGAAAATTCTGTGATTCTGCTGCTTTAAGCAAGCCAGTTCATTTGAAAACCAGCTGAGTGGGAATTATGGCACGCTTTTATTTCCTATTCACTAAGAGGCCCATTGTGTCTGGACAAAGTCTCATCGTGGAGTTCTCTCTGTAGCTCTGTTGGCAGGCTACAAGCTCTGTAGGGGAAAATAAATCTTGTAATTCTCAGAACTCAAAGCTTTGACCCGCATTGAATCATAAATTAAAAGAATATAGAAATATAGGACCAAGACCCTATGTTTTGGACAACTAAGCAAAATATTATCAATTCCGTGAAAATATATTCCATAAAGTCTAAAACTTTACAGTGGGTACTATGTAGTCTGTAAAAGTACAAGTGCCAGAATTAGTGATACAAGTGATAATTTCTTTCACAGGCTATATACATGGCCCAAATGAATGTGAACTTCTAAGGATTTTAAAGAAGCATATTAAGATTCAGATGGAAGACAGGCGTGGTGGCACACGCCTGTAATCCCAGCATTTGGGAGGCTGAGGTAGGAGGATCGCTGTGAGTTCGAGACCACCCTGGGCTACATAGTGAGTTCCAGGTCAGCTTCAACTACATAGTGAGACCCTGTCTAAAAAATAAAAAAAAAAAACACATTCAGATGGAAAGGGAATATAGTATACATAAACGTTTGGTGTTTATAATGACACAGCTTTTATATGGAGAACAATAGAAGTCCCTCATGCAGAACAGGGTCTCATAGCATAGGTAAGGTCATATGGGATGGTTGAGGAGGGGAGAAGGTATGACTGCATGATTGTGAACACAAGATTGCATCAAGGTGAGACGAACAATAGCCTTTTGGTATCTTAACAAGTAAAGCTCTTCAGAGTGTGTCCAGGGCAGATTTATTTTTTAAATTTATTTTGGATAATTTGAATAGGGATATTAGGGAAGTAGGCAGTAGGTTCTTCATAAAGTCTCATGGTAAAAGTTTGAGCTCAGGAAAGATGTTATAAAATCAGTATATGTACAGTTAATTGGCATGAATCATTTGGAAGACTAGAAAAACATTTAGGGCTAGATTTTGTTTGTTTGTTTTTTGAAACAGGGTCTCACTATGTAGTTGAGACTGAACTGGAGCTCATTATGTAGCCCAGGCTGGTCTCAACTCACAGCTGATGCTCCTCTCTCAGCCTCCCGAGTGCTGGGATTACAGGAGTGCGCCACCACGCCCAGCTAGGGCAAGATTTTAAAGGATAAGACAGTAGAAACTATTAACAAAGAGCAATTAATAAATGGAAGAAATATACAAAAGAAGGAAGTAGAGGGGAAAAGAAAGTTAGCAAGAGCCAGTTTTAGAGGAAACAAATATTGAATTTGCTTGGGATTGGAGGTAAAAAATAATCATTAACAGATGGACACTGAGTGCCATGCAAGTGGCTTTACATCAGATTCCTAAAATACAAAAGAGAAGTGGGTCCTATCAATATGGAACCTATAATCCACTTGGGGAGTTAGGTGAACTTAATCTCTTCAAAAATCCAGATCATACAAAAATCAACAGCATAAAAGATAATCCATTTTTTTCAATGTACTCAACTATGTAAAGATTCGTGGTTTTGCTAGAGGCTTTGCCTCCCGGATCTTACCTTATATTTACCATTTCACCTTTACATCCATTTGCCACTCGACTCCCAAGTAAGAGGAATGTTAGAATCAGATTAAAATTGAGCTGGGCATCGTGGCACATTGTCTGTAACCCCAACACTCGGGAAGTCGAGGCAGCAGGCTCATTTTAGGCCATCTTAGGCTACAGTGAATTCAAAACCAGCCTGAACTACAATAGCAAGATTCTGTCCAAGAAAAAACAAACAAATACAAAGATTAAAATTGATAGGCTGGGCATGGAGGCTCACGCCTGTAATCTCAGCACTTGGAAGGCTGAAGCAGGAGGATTGTCACAAGTTTGAGAACAGCCAGGGCTATATAATGATTTAAAGGCCATGCTGAACTACATAGCAAGACACTGTCTTAAAAAGAATAAACAAAACCTAGGAATTTTAAAAAATGTTATTTATCATTTCACCAAAAGCCCCATGACATATTAACATAAATATAAAAACCTCATATATTAACATAAATAACATTTTTATTAAAAGTAACTTTTAGAGCCGGGGGTGTGGTGTCGCACGCGTATAATCCCAGCAGGAAGGCTGAGGCAGGAGGATCACTGTGAGTTCATGACCAGCCTGGACTACACAGTGAGTTCCAGTTCCAGGTCAGTCTCAACTACATAGTGAGACCCTGTCTCAAAAACCAAAAAAAAAAAAAAAAAAAAAAAAAAAAAAAGTAACTTTTATTTTCCAAACCAAAAAAAAAAATTTAGTGGCTGTGATACTGATTTACATTTTTGTAAGTCTTTTTAATGTTTGACTTAATAGAAGAAGGCTGGATTTTTATATTTGCATCTGTATTCAATCTACTTCAATATGTTGTTCAGATTGAAATATATTTTTTAAAATTTCATCTTCTTACAGATATGTAATGGGAACTAGGAGGGGTATTTTAATAGTCATTGTAAATATTCTTCTTTGATACAGCATCAGAATGCAAGGAGCAGTTTCTTTCTTTCTTTCTTTCTTTCTTTTTTTTTTTTTTGGTTTTTTGAGACAGGGTCTCACTTATGTAGTTGAGACTGACCTGGAACTCACTGTGTAGCCCAGGCTGGTCTCGAACTCACAGCAATCCTCCTGCCTCAGCCTCCCAAGTACTGGGAATGCAGTCATGCGCCACCACGCCCAGCAAGGAGCAATTTCTTAAACATTAATTGCAGTGTGGGATCTGAAACTGTATCAGTGAACTTTTTATACTACTACACTAAAATCCATTAATCTGGATTTTGTAATGAGTCTTTTATTCATTAGTGATTTTATAACATTCATGTCATTTGGAAAATATTGGTTTAATGAGTCATTCCATTTTTCTAAAAGTTGAGCATTTTATCATGTAGCATCACAAAGTATGTTTCTTAGTATCTCTAATGATCTCATTACAAAAATCTTTGTGTATGGTAAAGCAGTCAAGCTCATGATGATAGAAATTCTCCCAAACTGATTTTAGCTTGAAAGTTGGAATTTTATCATTGGCAACAAATATTGTTGCTTGTTTTCCTTGAACTTACTGACTCACCTCTTTGGTTTTGGAGAAAATGCCTCTCAGCCGCCTGAGCCTGAAAAACCATAGCTGTCAATCAGGCATGCCTTCATATAAAAGAATGCTCATCAAAGAAAAGCGGTCAATTCAAGTGTATAACTCAGTTGCTTTAGTGCTTTCCCTCAAGACCATCAGTAAAAGTACTTTTGTGTAATTGCTATATTATTACACAGAATATTACAGAGGCAGAATCCACAAGATTTGAGATTCAATACAACATAATTTTTATTGCTCCATCAAGGACATTCTTAACTACAGCTGGCTTTGTTTTTTATATTTGATGATGTGGTGAAGAATACATTGCCCATTTGTGTAATTTGTGTCACTGCCTTGGCTTACACAGTACCAGCAGTTTTACCCCCTACTGCTTTTACATAGTCATTGTGAATGTAATGAATGTAAACACAGAGAAAAGTATAAATTACTATGAAAGTAGTTTTGACATCTCACATCCTCTGAAAGGATCTTGGGGCCCCCCAGGATCCATGGGTCACACTTTGAAAACCACTTTTTCAAACCACACTTTGAAAACCATAAACATGTTCCAGGGCTAAGGATTTAGCTCAGTGGTACTGTGCCTGCACTGTAAGGTCCTGAGTTTGAGTCCAGTACCAGAAAAAAAAAAAAAAAAAACCCTAAAAAAATAAACATGTTCCAATTCATTAAACTATCACAGTGTTTGTGGTATGTAGTTCCTTGAATCGACAGGTGTTTAAAACGATGAATTGCATTATTGGTCATAGTAACATGCTGCTGAGGTTGTTATCTGTTTTTCTTTCTCCAGGTGACCTGGTGATTCTCAATGATGATATTCCCACTGCGGGCTGGCTGCAGGGCCGCAGCTGCTGGGGCTCACGGGGCTTCTTCCCCTCCTCATGTGTTCGAGAACTCTGCCTTTCCTCTCAAAGCCAGCGGTGGCACTCACATAGTGCACTGCTTGAGATTCCTGAATACTCCATGGGACAAGCACGGGCCCTCATGGGACTTTCTGCTCAGCTGGAGGAGGAGTTGGACTTTAGGGAAGGGGATGTGATTACCATTATTGGAGTTCCCGAGCCAGGTTGGTTTGAAGGGGAGTTAGAAGGTCGAAGAGGCATTTTCCCAGAAGGTTTTGTAGAGCTTTTGGGGCCCCTGAGGACCGCGAATGAAGCAGTAACTTCCGGAAATCAAGATGACTGTGTTGGTAACGGTGAAGTAGATATGCCTCTAGGCGAAGAAGAGAAAGGGCCAGAGGAGGACAACGAGCAACCTGGGGCCTATGGAATTGCCCTCTATAGATTCCAAGCTCTGGAGCCTAATGAGTTGGATTTTGAAGTAGGGGATAAAATTCAAATCCTGGCAACCTTGGAGGACGGCTGGCTAGAAGGGTGCCTGAAGGGCAAGACAGGCATTTTTCCTCACCGCTTCGTAAAGTTATGTGCTAATGCCAGAACAGTAGAACCCGTAGCTTTGTCCCAGGAAGGCAGCCTTACCAAAACCCCAGAGAGTTCGTGGGGTGCTTTGGAGAATTCCTTAGTAGTGGAGACACCAGGGCATGAATCTCATGAGTACAAAGCAGAGACCACCAGCTGTGTTCTTCCTGAGACCTCCACTACTCCCGTAAATCATCTGAGCCCTGAGTATGACATAAATGAGAACTCCATTCAAGATGACAGTACCTCAGGAGGGATCCCCAGAAGCCCTAGTGCAGAGCTCGAAAAGCCTCTTGCCAAAGATTCTGATTTGACTCATTATTTAGAGGCAGTCAATGGTGTTTCTTCCCAACCTCAGGTACCTATTCATTCAAAATTGCAGAAAAATCAGGATTATTCTACAGCAGAAGGGAGCCATCAAAGCTCAGAACAGTTCTCTAACCTTCCTGTAGAAGCCAGGACTAGAGACTACTCAACCCTACCTCCCAGGAGAACATATGCCCCGTGGAGCTCCCAGGAGAAGCCACTGGCTCCCCTTCACAGAGGCTCTTCCTTCACAGCCTCGAGGGTAGCCCAGCCCAGCCAGTTGAGCCCTCAGTTCGAGGGCACGGCAAAGTGTGCTACGAGGCACCACACATCCAAAGAAAACACCTCTAGCTTCTGCTCCACATCAGAGAGATCAGAAAGAAACCCTCGTCCACAAGGCAAGGGCCCCACTGTGGCAGTCACAGCACTTTCACACGGAGATGGCAGCACCGACCTGGATTCCAAGTTGACACAACAGCTGATAGAATTCGAGAAGAGCCTGTCAGCGTCTGCCGCGGAGCCAGATAAAATTTTACGCCACTTTTCAATTACGGACTTTAATTCAGAGAAGGATATTGTCCGAGGTTCCTCAAAATTAATCCCTTCGCAGGACCTACCTGAGAGAAAAAAAGCACTAAGGCCACCGCCACCCCGGCCCTGTACTCCAACATCTACTTCCCCACACTTGCTGGTTGACCAGAGCCCAAAACCCATACCCCCTTTGCCCGTGCGGCCATCTCGCCCAGCTCCCCTGCCTCCTGCACAGCAGAGACTGAATGCAGCCTCCCACAGTCCATCCTCCTGTCACCGTCCTAGCTTCAAGACTCCAGAAAAGGAGGGCCCTGAGCACGTGGAGCAGAGTCCGGCTCGGACTTCACCCTGTCCCTCAGTCCTGGCGAGGATTCGGGAAATGGAGCAGGATCTGGATATGTACACCAGAGCTCAAGAAGAGCTGCGCCTGATGCTGGAGCAGAAGCAAGATGAATCCTTGAGGGCAGAGACCCTTGAGAATCTCAAGTTCTATGAGAGTAACATTGAAAGTTTGAACCTGGGACTGCAGCAACTGAGAGGTAAGTGATGAGGAACTAATGTCTCCGTGTTTTTTGACAGCCACAATCAAGGGAACAGTCTGCCCAGGTGTGTGAGGGAGTGCTACCATCTTTGATCATCAGAGATGATTTTCATTACTCCGTTTCTTACTTCTGTCACTACAATTAGATTGTTCTTTCTCGCTATATCTTGTGACTGTTGTATCCTTTTCAGTTCATTTGCTGCTCAGGTAAAGAAGGTCAAGCCTTGGAGACATGGGGTCCCACTGACGTGTACCTCGCCTACTGTTACGATGTCCGTGGTACGGAATAGGAACTCCCTAAATGTAACTTCTTTAACTATGTTCTACCAAGAACTAAAGACTGCTAGGCCAAGACTCCTAAGGGGGGAAAAAAAACGAAAAACAAAAAAACAGCTTGTATCTTTGTGGTCCAGAACAAACTATATTTATAACTATATTTCAGTTATAAAAATAACCAACATTTCTTCATTTACTAGTAAGCATTTGCTACCATTTGCTTACACAAGGAATTTTCACAGCCCCCTTAAAAGTATGGGCTAATTCTTATGGCTGCTTTGTAGAGGAGAAAACTAGGGCTTACAGAGATTAATTTGCCAAGGGAGATGGCATTTAAGCTCATGTTTCTTACTAATATAGTTTACTATTTCCCACTAATTTACATTCTGTGACCAGTCTTAGAGACTTCATATTTGTCAGACTCACAGGAGCAATAATTTATAAAGTAGGAAGAATAAGAGGGAGCCAAAGGCAGTTGGTCTAAGGCCCTAGGACACGATGACTGCACATCACTTTTGGCCTATGTACCGGAAACCTCTGATCCTACATGTTACCAGGAAAGTAAATGATAAAAAGTAACCTGGGGATCTAGAAATTGCAGGATACCAAAAAGAAATAAAAGCAGAAACGTGTGTATCCCAGTGACATGTGTATCGGGTCATGGTGGCAGACTGAGTACCCAGATCTGCCTCCCCTTCTACCTTTACATCTCTAAAAGAGAATGAGGAGAGTATAATTTTAAAATTCCAACAATAAGTTGCATTATTGGAAGGCCAGATCAAATAGTTTTCTGAAAGATGAAAAGCAGCTGTTGTTGCAGAAAAGGAAAAAAACCTCTATCCAAAATATACTTAGGAAAGGAGCACAGTTCCAGCAGAACTCCAGACTCAGAGATGGGGCAGTTGAGAGGTCCTGGGACAAGTTTAATGTGACTAATTAGGGAACAGCTAGACTCCTAGCTATTAAAAATATGTGTATAATAAATATATGTATAGTAGAGGAACTGCAGCAAACTTTGACTTTGAGTGTTAGGATAGGTGCTTAGACATGGCCTCAAAAAGGTGTTCATGTAACGCTGTACCCGAGCTCTTGCTTTGATGATCTGGAGCACCCAAAAAGGGATTCTGTGGGAACCTTGGCTGGGATCTGTGTCCCCAAGTCCCAGTATTCTCCCTGTTCTTCCACACTTAAATGTTTCTAGATACACTTGTAATACTATTATTTTGTTACATATACAGGTGGGAAAACTAAAGTCCCTCAAATTCCACATAGCAGGGACTTCTCAATAATGTCATTGTTTTAGAATGAATGGTGTTCCACAGAAGGATTATGTCTTCTGTGCGCAAGAACACTGGGGAGTGTGTTTAAACAGATACGTAGATTAATGGGTTAAGTACTGATGCTGTTTTTTTTCACCTGACCTTTTTCCATACTAATTTAATAATTCAGTAAGCATTTTTACTATACATATATTTTTAATTGCTAAAAGTTTAAAACTGTGAAAGATACCAGTAGGTAAGTGGAGTCTCAATCAGATTTTTAATAATTTCAATCTATGAAATACTTCATTAGGAATGGTAATGTTATCTGACTATTCATTAGATATATTATTTATATCAACTGCTAATATGATGAAATTACTTATCCCTTACAGTCACAGACTGTTAAGACTCTTAAGGTCCTCTTTTTCTATGTTCATAAAGGTATAGTCAACAATATAAATAGCTCATCAAGATAAAGAAATTCATCAGACTGGGTACCAGACTTCTCTAGCTCAGTCCCATGTAACTTCTAATCTTGAAATTTAAAGGCCTATGAATTTTTGTTTTATTTTATTTTGTGGTACTGGAGATTGAACCCAAACAATGAGCTACATCCCTGGCTCATTTATTTGTTTATTTATTCATTCATTCATTCTTGGTACTGGGGATTGAACTGGGGTCCTTGCACTTGTGAGGCAGGAGGCAGAACCACTGAGCTAAATCCCCAGCCCTCATCTGTGGCTCTTTTAAATTTTGAAACAGAGTCTCACTGAATTACTAAATTGCCCAGGCTAAGCTCAAACTTGTGATTGTTCTTCTGCAGTTTCCTGCAGTTTCTGGGATTACAGGTATGTATCATGATGCCTGGCTTTAAAATTACTCTTAAGAGAGAAACTTAGGGCCAGGGATTTAGCTCAGTGTTTCCACTGCCTGCCTTGCAAGCAGAAGGACCCGAGTTTGATCCCCGGTACCAAAAAAAAAAGAGAGAAACTTAAATATACAACACATTAGTTGCCCTATTGGATGGAGTTGATCTATATTTTATGACTCATATTTCAGACATGGGAAAAAGTTTCCATTTTGCACTGATATTGGTTGAATTGCTAAGTGTATACACAGGAGGTAGGGCCGTTCTATTATAGTGTATTTTGTTTTATATAAACTCACTTTCTGTTTTACCAGTGAAAAAAAAAATTTTTTCTAAGGAATGTAAAAAAGCGCTTTAATAAATAAATCTAGATGTAGGCATCCGTGGCAATACCTCCTGGACACATAGTTCTTTTTTCGCTTTTCATCTGCAAAATAAGGAACTAAAATCTGGGAAAACTATAGAAAGTTGCTTGGAGGGTGAGTGAGCCACAGAGTCCTTGCCCTGGCACACCCCCTGAAAACAAAACCGACAAAACTCATTGTGCATTAATTAGTGCAGAAACAAAGACAGATTCAGCAAGTGCAAGGGTGACTACAATTTTCCCTTGTCCTTGGGAAGCCAGCTCCCTGGTTGCTAATGGCAGTGTAGCCGTGCAGGCTCCATAACCCACTGGGAAATGTCCTAGGGAAACCCCCCTTGGGCTTTCTGCCTCTGAATCCCCTTCGGTCTGACTTGGACAAGTTTCCAGCACCCTCAGTTAGAGGATCCCTTTTGGACACCGGGCCCATCCCGGATTCCCGTTCTAGCAGCCCCTCTGATTCAGACACAAGTGGCTTCAGTTCTGGATCAGGTCATCTCTCAGACTTATTTCATTTCCGCATTTCTCCTCCTCTGCCTTTCCTGTCTCTGACAGGGGGTGGTCCCAGAGACCCCTTAAAGATGGGGGTTGGGTCCCACATGGACCACACCTTCCCCAAGAAGTGCTTCAAGGAGGTGACCTGGAGCTTCAGTGTGGCCATCCCGGGACCTCTTCGAAGCCCCCAAGGATCCCTTCAGCACAGAGAGGGCCAGGCTGCACCGGCAAGCTGCCGCTGTGAACAAAGCCACCTGTACCCGGAGTGGCCAGCTTCCTCCCGGAACTATAAGAATCCCATCTGTTCTTGCAAGGTGTTCTTAGGACGTGTTCCTTGGGATATCACAGACGCTGGATTGGGTAACACCTTCCGTGTTTTTGGTTCTCTGAGTGTGGAGTTAGGGAACATGCTCAGTATTGAATGTGTGCTGCTCTGGGCCGAGGAGTCTGAGTCCTGGGTGCTCCAGGGTCGGTCCCAGCCTGTTAGATGGAGGGACTGCAGACCAAAGCACAAGCCATTTGCGTCTGGGAGGGCACGGGAAGATTTTTGCGCAGACATGGGGAAAAGCATCTTGCTTATAACTGTTTCTTCAGAGTCCTAGAAGTCTGGTAAATGATCGTGCATTCCTCGATTTACTGGTGTAGTGCAGACTCTACTGTACTGAAATCCAAAGAATTGTCCAATATGGCGTTTATCCTTCGAAAGATACTGGCATTGCTACACGTGGAGAGTGCAGGCGCTTCCTGATTGTCCCAGCAATTTTTTATCCTTCCTCTTTCTTCTTCCTGTGGGAATGCCATGGGGCCCGGGCCCAGGCCCCGCCAGCCTGACTAACTGAGGGGCCCGGCACCGGCAGGGACGTACATGCATGTGGCTCTGTTTCTTCAGCGGGTTGCCTCCATTGAAAATGTTTGATCTGCTTATTCGATTTTGATTTTGCCGTTCATACTGCTTTTGTTAATTCACATTTTAGATGAGTTTTGCATTGTCTAGCAGTAGTTTGTCACTGTGATATTCATAACTTCTCTTTGCATTTCTTCTGTTAAAATATTTAGAGAGGATAGAGAGTAGCTTAGTGGTAGACCATGTACTTAGCATGTGCAAAGGCTCTGGGTTAAATCCTCAGCACCAAATAACAGCGGTATAACCTGTAGTAAACATTAAACATTGAAAAACACTGGGCAAACATTACTGGTTATTATTCAAATGAGAAAATTCACTTTGTTTAGCAATGTTCAACACTATATAGAGAACATGGATCAGAATTGCCAAATTTAAGGGAGTTGCTTCCAAAACTTGATTTCTTGGACCATCACATACAAGCTTTATAAAAATCATACTATGCAAATAAGTGTATTGATTTTTATTTGCAAGAATGACTCACTGTTGGCAGCACACAGGGCCATAAGCCGCATACTCAGAAACACATGTATAGCATAGCAATGGTTCTGAACAAAACTTATCTGATTGCCCACGACTTTCCATCCTACGTGTTCTTGTACTGGTTGCTGGAAATGTCAATAGTAATTTTTCACTTTTTGTGTCAGTATTTTCAAATTTGCTTTTATCTTGCTATGAGTGAATTTCTTTAAACCCACATCTCTACATTTATTGTTAGGCTTTATTCATACAAGAGACTTCTAGTACTTTCTCTTGTTTTCCAGATTTCTTTACTGATTTTTCTTAGGATTTAAACATAAATTTCTCAAGAAATTCTTAGAAGAAATTTCCACAT